GAATCCGTGTTAATTGATGAATATATCTGAGCATCTGTTCATCTACACATAGATGCAGCAACACACCAATAGCAATTCAGCATGCTGCTTATTTTTAAATTTATCCAGCGTAACAAGGACAGGCATATATTGTGGCAGTCATCTTGGATTTTGACATGACAATCCAATTTTTGTCAGGATCCTTGTGTTTTTTTTTTTTTTTTTGTCGTCTTGGGATTATTGTATTTAATTTCCTCTAAGACTGTTTTACGTGAGTTTTCAGCTTTTCCAGTGTACTTTTTCCCATTCACTGAGTCAGCTCTTGGTCTTCCCACTTTCACCTGATCCTCATTGTCTCTCCTCAGGTGTCTGTCATTGTCTATCCCTTTGAATATGTATTCTTTTGTTTTTCCTTTGTCTGTGGATTGTGCTTCTTAAATCCACTCATGCACTATTCTTCTGTCTCCCAGAGCTGTTATTTTTTTCATGTAAGATGTTTACTGCCACGTAAGACTTTGCTTTCTTTTTCTTTTTTAAGATGTATTTATTTATTACCTTTGAGTTCCTCAAGTCTGTTTGTAACCTGGGTTCAACTCCTGACATAACATGATAATGTTTGAGAGAACATTTGCAGCTACACACCAAAATCTAAGTCAGAGGTGTAACAATACACAAAAAAATGGTTTGATCTATATTTTATTTTGAAGTCATGGTTGGACATGTTTTCAGTATGGCTGTATTAAGGGAAAACAGTGAATTTAGTACACATTTAGGCACATTTAAGTGTATAGAAAACCCTTTTAAATACATTTAGATTTATAACAGAAGCTTCAGATAAGCCATGAACAACTGTAGTGTGCAGTTGGTTATGTTGAGCTGCTATATTTTGGTTGTGTGCCTGTTGCTAAAAATACTCCTAAGACATTTGTTATGGACCTGTCCCAGTCAGAATTGTTAGTGAGGGGTTGTTTGTATGCTTCAGGCATGGATTTGGCTGGATTTATTCTTTAGTTTTTATGTTGCATTTAAAAACAGGCAGTAGGGGCTCCTGAGCATAAATATTAGTTGAGCAGAAATTGGTTTTGATTCCTGAATCTCTAACCACACTAGAAAAGTGCATGTGCAATCTCAGTAGTCAGAGCCTACACCATTTGGGCAAATTTGAAGATCAGGATAACAGAGAAAGAAAGTGGGTGCAGAGGTAGCTGACTTTGGGCCATCAACAAGGCTCAAAGACAAACTTCCAGCCACACAGTGTGCATGTGAAGAGCATTAACAACATTTAGCTTTTTATCTGTGGAGTTTTCATCGGCTCAAATGGTTGATGTTTATAATTCTAGTTCTACCTTTAACACAGTATGCTGGTCAATAAAATACTGGATTTCAAATGCAATAATACCATCTACTCCTTAATTACTCAATCAAAAACCTCCATTCATTTTAAATGGCAAATGGACTGCACTTATATAGCACCTTTTTATCTTATCCAGATACTCAAAAGCGCTTTACATTTACTCATCCACACAGCACTCTACTAGATCTCTACAAAGCTAATTGAACAAATCATTCTAAAGAGACTAATCAGTGCTTTAGATCACATTCATACACTGATGGGACACACATCGAAGGGGTTCAATGTCTTGCCCAGGCACACTTCGGCATGTGACTGCTGGTGGATTCTAACTCCCAACTCTTGCATTGGAGGACGACTGCTCTAACCACTCAGCCACAGCCGCCCCTAGCCGCCTAGTTTACACCCAGTAGGACAGAGTAGCAGGCTTGCACTTCTCTGTAGCCATTAATCTCAGCACCTAAAGCTGTGTCCACAGTTTCTTCTTCTAAACTCTCTACAGATTCATTGCATGCTTTTGTTTTGATGGCGTATTTCTATACATGCGCATAATAATGGTTAGGGGGAAAAAAAAATGAAGTTGCAAATGTATGAATTAACCAGGAGCCCAAAAAATACTGATAAATAAAAAGTAAAAAACGTCAAATTCAGACAGCTTTGCTTTGCAAAGATGTGATGTTGTGAATTTTCAGAGGTGATTCATTGCTGAATTCACATTTGGGTGAAAGGAACGTGCAGTCCATCAACAAGTGACCAAAAGTTTTCCGTCCTGACAGTTACAAACTACATGGGCTGTTGTACACAAGCACTCTGAAATCATACAAGATATTAGAGGTTATAATTGTTTGTCCTCTGGAAAATACAATGACGCTTCGAAGTACTTGCCTGTTTGTTTTGTGAAAACAACAATAATTCCATGTCAGTGTGTCAGACAATTCAAATCAATTCAATGTATTTATATACCATACCATACCATACCAATTTATTTATAGAGCACTTAAAACAGCAACAAGGCCAACCAAAGTGCTGTACAAAAGAAACAAACATGCACAGCAGACAGGAAAACATAAAATAGAAATACAGATACAAATAGCAGCAGAAGCTAACTAAAATGACCAACAGAGTAGAGAACAGACCGGACCAAAACAAATCACACTGTGTTAAAGGCATGCGAATAGAAGTGGGTCTTCAAGCGAGACTTAAAGACTGAGAGTGTGGGAGCCTGCCGGACACTCAGTGGCAACTCATTCCACAGTCGTGGACCTGCGACAGAGAAAGCCCTGTCACCTCTGAGCTTACGACGGGTTTCTGGGACTGAGAGAAGCATCTGGTCTGCTGACCTCAGAGAGCGCGGTGGGACATATGGCTGCAGAAGATCAGTGAGATAGGATGGGGCGGAACTGTTCAGTGATTTAAAAACATACATGAGAATTTTGAAATGGATCCGAAGGTGAATGGGTAGCCAGTGCAGGGAGGCCAAAACTGGCGTGATGTGCTCTCTATAGCCTGTACCAGTTAAAAATCGGGCTGCAGCATTTTGGACCAGTTGTAGACGAGCAATGGAGGACTGACTGATTCCAAACAGAAGTGAATTGCAGTAATCAAGCCTAGATGTTATGAAGGCGTGGATCACTGTCTCAAGGTTCTTTTTGGAGAGTATAGGCTTCAGCTTAGACAGCTGTCTCAGCTGACAAAACAGGATTTGACCATATAGCACCAAGTCCAAACAGAAGTTATCTCAGGGCACTGAACAAAAAGACTGACATACACAAAAATTAATTAGTAATGTCATTTGTCTAAGGAAGGAAGCAAACCTATGACAAACCTATGAACTGTGAGTTTACAGTAGTCCCTCGCTACTTCGCGGTTCGTTTATTGCGGACTCGCTCTATCGCCATTTTTCAAAATAAAATTGGACACGACACACAATTGGCTGATTGATGGATGAGTCGCACGATCGGCATGGATTTAAAAAAAAAATTAATAAATTATTTTAAATGATTTAGCACCTGCTGTACCTTTGTGCAGCCCATACTGCAGGATAAACTTCCTGCTGCAGCTGATCAGCTGTTCTCTGTGAAGAGCGGAGAAGTGGGCATGGCCAAGAGCGCTTGCAGGTGGCTGAGAGCAGTGGAGGCAGGGAGCTGAAATCATGACATTCTGTGCTCTTTTAGAGCGTTTAGAGTTTAGAAACATTGTTTAGAATATTGCAAGAGTGTGGGAAGGGTTTAAAACACTTTTATATATATATATGTATATATATATATATATATATATATATATA